GGTCAGACAGCAATTTATAAGAAGGCCTTTGGCTGGCAAAGATCGACGGCAAATGTCAGGAGCGAGTGGGAGGGTAATAAATAATTCTTGTAAGCGGTCATGAACGTATCAAGGGCAAGCATCAGGTGTGGGAGGGCACACTGGTGGCCACCTGTGAATCATACTGGTATTATAAGAAAAAAGTCATAATTAATGAGGAGGTGGCGTAATGGCGAGTAGGACCACTCATCACTGGCAGTTTCACGGTTAAACCCCAGATTGGCTTTCGGCCATGCCAACCAAGCCCTCAACCGTCCGGGATGCGCGAAATGATGCCAAATTTGTCTAGGAGGATAAGAACACTGACTTGTACATCGGCTGGCCCCGCAAGTCATTGTATAGGCCACATCGCATTCAATAAGCCACTACGATTCTGAATGGAAGTAGAATGCGTGCCGCATCCCACAAAGGGATTGATCAGCGGCGAAAACGTCTTTCTAAATCATCCAGCAGCACTCTATCCCACTAGGACCTCAGCTATTACACTTTGCTTGGAAGCAGTCATTCGAAATAACTATTCACTGCTTGACGATTATTGATTACACTAATTCTACCGTATCCCTTGGTCTAATGGTTGATGATGCTTTTTGAAAAACCAGCTAGCTGCGATCCTGCGTCTCGGCTGAACACTCTATCATTTCTGCCATTACTGAGTCAGAACTTTGCAAAAAAAGGGGGACGACCTTGAGTAGCGAGATCAATGGCAGACAGCTGAGCGCCAGGATATGAAGCAGCACTCGTCGCCACCGGTTGCGTCTTCCCGTTCGTCTCGCGGTTTCAACAGCGAGGCTTTTCTTCGTTTTATCCAGGTAAATCGGTAGATGCTACGGCCAAAATCCTCCTGCTTCCATATCGGCCTATCGTTTTAGTTTCTTTGGGAAGAAATAAATGCTTAGGAAATGGGTAACTTGTCACTTTAGTACCTATACAAGATACCACGGCTGACTATATTCATCTCTGATTTTTACCAAGCCATCTGCATTTAAAAATTCGAAAAGAAGGCTGAGTTATCGTCGATCATGAGCAGAGCACGTCATGCGCTGGGGAGGGGGAAGCGTATTCGATCGGTGGGTCTCTTCGGGAGGGGGGGGGGGAGTGGAGAATTCCCCGAAAATGAAAACGAAAGCGAAGAAATAAATAGAAAGAAGCTGGGAAGATTGAAGGGAGGGGGTAGCACCAAAAGAGCAAAACTGGCGGGGAGGTCACATTTGGCAGAACTTTCCTCAGGACCTGCCCTTTGTCCAAAGTCGTCCTCCTTGAGGAGTCCTTTTTTACTTTTTTTGTTGAGTTCGAGATACCAGCTTATTTCTCTTGGTTTTCTTTCCCTTACGACAATTTGAGGGAGGATATGATGACAGTGGCGCGATTACCACTTTCACTTATTAGTTCTGGAATCCCTCTTACCCCCAAGCAACCAGATTTTTCCTTCTTGCGGGGTTGGCTGATGTCGAACTTGTCTGAAAGGACGAAGACGCTGACATCTCTACTGGTTGTTCCCTGCAAATCTTTGAACAAGCCGGCCGGACCTGCACTAATGAAGGCCAGAGCGATCCTAAGCGGGAGCAGGAGTGGCGCCTTCCAGGACTGCGGTTGAGGAAAAATGTCACCGCTTTTAGTATAAATGGATGGAGAAATTCAAAACTAGACTCAATCAGTTCTTACAATCCCTGCTTTCCAAGTGTTACTGGACTGAGAAACCTGAAATTGGTCTAGGTTCCTGCGATCCAGCTCCATATTTCGCATGCGTTATGAGCTGTTTTCTCACATTTTATGAGGGTATTGACTGCTATTTTCAGCAAGCCATACATATCAACGGCGGACATCGGAAACGTGTCTCTTGTGATATGGTACGCTTTTTTTGTATATAGAAATTTGATAACCGAAGGTACCAGAAACGGTCCAGCAGTTTTGATATGCTACCCTACCGCCAAATGGTGACAGCACAAACGATCACTTGTTACCTCCTAGTCTTCGTCGAGTTGTAAGGCGAACGGGTCCGCGGCTGCAGGTGTGCCTTTTCCGTCACATGGAAGTGCGCGGCTGGAGTGTATTGGCAGCTGGGTGCCATTTGGGGCTCCACCCACAGGCTAAACACGCAGCACTTGGCGCGTCGCACTATCAACTATACGCTCCGCCAAGTTAATCGCGCTCCCTGTTTGCGCCTCTCTCGTCTGGTTTAGGAGCTGTTGGTCTCCAGTCTTGGCCGTGGCAGACAACTTGCTGTTTATGTGGCTGTTGCAAGGCCTTTGCAGCGACGCACATTCTTTATGTTGCCGACGTCGGGTGTAAACCCAAACGGTACCCACCTTTCAGTACGCTACAACCTAACTCCCGGCCCTTTTTGACTGACGAAACTGGCATACTTCTGTGACTGCGGACTCACCGCCCCCACCATCCCCCCACCCTCCCTCCAGAAGAACTTAAATGCCAAACGAACATTTTCGGACAGCGGGCGAACGGTCGCGTCGCGGTCATTGCGCTGGGGCGCGTTATCTTCGCGATTAGGTTCACGATACACGAGACATTCGTAGGAATGAGAACATCACTTGATTTGGAGGAAATGATACAATCGAGAGCTATGAAACCCTGAAACATACTTCAGATCAGGGAATTTTACAGGACTTCCTTCTAGTTTCCTGGAATCTCAGAAGTTCCTCCCACAGACACTTCTATACCCACGTTGTTAACCGTAACGATCAGTTTATCCTCGAATTGAAAATTGCGATCACACCCGAACTCGTTTAGGGCGCCACATCACGAATGTCTGTGTTACAACACAAAACATATTTCCAGTTCATCCATATTGCACTCCCACTCAGTTTGCTCTAGCATTGGTGTTTCCTAGGATTCTTGTTATCACATAGAGATAAAGATATATTTCGTCGTCATCTTTGCCTTCAGTACTAAGGTGAACTACCACGCACCTCCTTTGCCAGCACTTCACCCTTCTGAAGTACCCATTCAACCCTGTCGCACTAGATTTACGTCTTCGAAATTTCTGTTTTTGCTCATAAAGAATTCTAAGAATCAGAAAAAAAACCCGACATAAGGTTCGTACGAGGGGCTTTAGAATCCGCATACGCTTCTTATTGAATAGTTACGTCACAGTGTCTATGGTTATAGCTCATGTCTAAGTGACTCCATGAATGGTCTGCGCGAACCGGAGAAGAACATATCGTGGAACATTCATTCACAGCTTCTGAAATACAAACACTTGCATTGTTTCAACTTACCAAGTTTTCATGTGAAATACCTCAGTCACCTTCTAAAAATATCAAAGCCATGCATGTTCGCAAAACCCCCCTCTTGTCTGTGTAATTCTTCACTCCCACTCTAAAATAACTCAAACACTACCCCAACTCCAACTTTATACACATTTTCATGTAACCTCCTTTCCACACGTCACTCCTATATAAACCACCAACTATCCTCATTTCCCAACCACACAGATACTTTAATTTCTATGTAAATCTTCATAACGCTTGCCTTCCTCCCACACGCCACCGATCTCGAGTCCCCGATTTGCCCGCGAAAACTGCAGGCGTACGAACGCGACCTCACTGACGGATAATGATAATCGTAAACACTCCGTAGACATCACGCATTGAATTGCCCAAAATCCAAAGGAGGCATCAGCACTCCCGCACTCTTGAAATCGCCCCAGCGCACATGACGGCTGCGACGCGCGACGTCGCCCTTCGCTGTCCGAAAATGTTCGTTTGGCCATTTAGGTTCTTTCCCCAGTCGCACGCGAATGACACAATCCACCGAAGGTGAACGAGCAGCTTGCCCATTCTAGGCTCTGTCCGCAGCTATGTGTTATCGCCACTGATTTCGTTCTCAACAAAACTGTAAGAAACTTCCTCTTCCACTTAAGCTAACGACAACATCGATGTAATGCACGCCATCCATGAAAGGCTACTTCTAATTAGGGATGACAACCGTCCCCTCCCCTCACCCTACCCCCACTCCCCTCCCTGTGCTTCTTTAATGGTAAATGGGAACTCCCTCCCCCTGTGTTTCTTAATGGTGAATGGGATATTCATCGAGAATTGTGCGGCATTCACATACTCCTAGCGAACGAACTGAACAACAGACCTATTGACTCGAGCGATAAATATATAGCACATCTGAAACGGGAAAAACGGAACACACTTAATCTTGAAAACGCAGGCCCGTTTCAAATCAAGGGGCCCTACAGTCCTGTTTGCTGCGGATGCTGGACGGAGGCGTGGGAGGGCTGGTTGACCAACCAGCTCTTCACTGATTGTGAGAACTGGCAAGGGTGGTGATTTGTGGGGAAACGGTGGCACCGCGCCGAACCCATCAACTCTTGAGACGCCCCAGCATCCGCAGCGAACAAAGCTGTACCTAGGCCCTCGCCCTAGCGTCTGAAATACGACCTCACACCATCCTGCAATTTCCAAATTATGATGTACCTCGGCTCTGAAGGCCAAAGGCCGGGTTATCGGGGTACCTAGAAGAATGAAATATGTTCTATCCAATAAGAAGTGACCAGGCTAACGTCCTGTAAGAGACGAAAAAAGGTTCTCTTTTCAGGACTCGATCGCCAGTGACAGCGAGATTACGGTCATTGAGCGATTCGTCACGTCAAGTTCCCCTTCTCAATCAACTTCCAATTACAGCGATCAATGCGATCGATTGCGAGAACGTCTCGAGCAGGTGTGTTCTTTCTGTTTCTGTTTTCAAGACGAGTTTTTGGAAAAACTTCGTCATTCAGGCACTCATTGAACGAGAAAAGTTAGAGCTGCAAAACGAACAGCTGTTGAAGCAATGGGAAGAAGCACTGGAGTATGTTACGACGGTCAGTTTGGAATTGATTGAAAGACATAAATAGTAACAAAGGCAAACAACTAGCTGTTTCACAGAACAATCAGAGTTAGAAACATTCTGTGCTTCTCTTTATAGATGACTGGTGTTCAGGGCTTAGGTGCACGGAGAATTTTTTTGCATTTCTTGTACAACCCACCATCCCCCATGCTGCTTACCACGAACGGGTGCTGCACGCAGTTCCCCGTTTCTGTGAATGAACTGAATTTGAAGATTGTTTATTTTCTCGGATCGCACCTGGAATAGAGGCCTGCTTGGGAAGGGGGGGGGGACGGAGGGACTACTGGGTAGCACCTTCGTGATCAGTTCCCTAATCGAAAATTATCTTTAGCGAAGATTAAATCTTCTTTTTCTGCAGCACTACCCCTCCGTGACTGCTGTCGTATGCGATTTAAACTCACGTTTTTTTTGGGAAGGGATCCAGCTGATTGCAACCCCCCTCCCTCCCCGCTCTTGGTTCCAATAAGCCTTCTTTGAATATCTGAAGCCTTTTTCTTTCTCTGTCTTTCTTTGTATATCCAAAACCCTAAAAAGCCTTTTTCAGGTGCAAAAGCAGCTTCAAGAGGAAATTCGGCGGAACACAGAGTTGAAAAATGCACAAATGGAAATGGAAAAAAGTCAACACGATCAGATCACAATTTCACGAACAACGCTGAACTTCATTGTTTTACTAGCTGTATTGATTGCTTTCTATTTATATAGGATCTAACGCTTCCCTCAAGGGGCCAAAGTTATTTTTGAGAAGGGTTGTGATTAGGAACGAGCCTCCCGTGAACAAGGAGGTGATTTCTGAACTTGTTACGGCATTGATGTGGGTAATGAAGAAGCACCCGCTTATGGAAGTTGGGTCCTGTCGTGATTTTCATGGGAGAGGACGTTTCACCCTACGAATATGGAAGAAATATGGGATATTTAGTCAAAAGCTCGACCCTCTACCTGTTTCGATGGCCCAGAGTTTTCACTGCCGGTAGTTAGCGCCGAATCTGACAATAACCGCGAACCTCTCCCTTGTCTTGAACTCGGTACCTGCTTCAAATCATAAACGGGTGTCTTCTTCCTGGCCATGTGTGCTCCTCGCGCCATTGTCTTCTCAAGTGCATTTCGATAACCTCCCTTATTTTCATGGAGGTTACGATACTCTTTCGGGTTTGTTCTTACTGTATAGAGTTTAGTTATAGAGGTTTGCTCAAATCTCGACTTTTTCGATGAGGTTGTTTCTTTCTGAACACTTCTGATTCACTTCCCTGTACAGCCTTACTCGGCGAACTTCTATTCGAGATTGTATAAAAGTCTAAAGGAATGCTTCTTGTCTGTCCTCATCAAAAAAGAACGAAACAGATGTAGTTGGGAGAGGTCGTGTGGCGACACGATTATCGTGACGTTACCTCTTTCGTCGGGTTCAAGGACTTTTCTCAGAGAAACTGTTGGCGCTAGGGGGTCATAGGTAGTAGGATCCTAAAAAAGGACTGGAGGAACACTGGAGGAACTGTTATTCTGAGAATACCGAGTTATATGCGAGTCCGGACCTAAGCCTGGACTCGAACTCGCACCTCATACTTTCCGGTGCGCTATCCGTTAACCCACCAGAGCCGCTGTACCTTCTCGCCTCAGAAGGTACTCCACGACACCCTGAATAAGACCTGTTTCTTGACATTTTCCAGGCAATTTATTTATATGATTGTAACGTACCGGAGAACGCGCTAGATGAAATACTTGTGCGAAAATGGTGTAAGCTTACAGCACTAGCGCAAGATTAGAAAAGAGAAAAGTGGACTTTGAGTGGACTGTCAACTGAACAAATGTCATGTAGGTGAGATATGGAAGGAAAGGAGACAATCTAAACAGATTAATTGAGAGCGGAAAGAGGTGATTTGCCGG